GCAGTCACATATGATAATTGTGCAAAATAGATCTCTACTATATGAACAAAGCGACAGCTCGATTTTGTCTTTGTAATAAACACGTTGTGATCGGTAGTTGGATTTGAGCAAATGACGAGCGATGCATCGAGCGAAAGTTTTAAATTCCCGACGACGCGATCGAGTACGGGTATTGGTTTCCGAAAGGTGCCATATAGCTTCCAACGACATTTGTAAATCGAAGCGATGTGTTCACGTGCATTTTTGGAAGCGCAAGCCTCAAATTTCCTCGTTGCTCGTTCGAGCTGTTTCTCTCGATCGACGCGCTCGGACTCTCGCATGGAATAAGCGAGAGATAGAACGAGATTCCTAAAAGCCTCGAGCTTGCGCTCCGCTGCTGCTGCCAAACGTGTACTGTGATTCGAGGACTGAAGGAGCAGCAGCAGTAGCTAACGGAGCTTTCGATACGCATTCTCATGCAGATCTTTGGCCCGCGCGAGAATGGAGAACGAACGAAGAACTACGTGTCTATATAGCGTCGACTTATACATATGTATTAAATGTGTATGTATAACTTTGTTCGCGCGAAGGACGTCGAAACACATCTATATCTACCCCAACGCGTAAGGCGAGCGATCTTTCTCTCTTCTCTCTGCGAGCTTTGTATAAACACATCTCAGAGAACACACGTATATAGTTATAGTACGCTACGTAAGCTTATTTGACGTTTAACTAATGCGCCTATTCATAAGTGCATCAAGTCGTTTATCAGCGTATACAAGTAAATTTGCCGGCTTCTCTTGCGCAGCAGCAGCAGAGCTTAATACTTAGCGCGCGCTCACGGCTCTCGCATTATACGTGCTCGGGTGTGGGTGTGTGTATGTCTGTGTACGTCCGTGTGTGTACAGAGATGAATACATAGAGGCAAGCCCATGACGATAAGAATACGCGACAGCTCAGAAAGGGCCGAGTATGTATACTTGAACGTGCGCACACACACACGTACGTAAGCGAAAGCTGCGCAGATACGTATGTATAGAGCTTGCGAGATATCGCACAGCTATGTGTGTTCGTGTACGTACAGGCGCGGTAGAGTAGGTGAGAGACACATACATGCAGAGAGAGGGAGAGAGAGAGAGAGAAAGCAGCGCGAACTTTGCAAACTTTATCCAAAGGTCAGCGAACCCTCTTAGATCATTAATTTTCTGGGTGGCAAGCTTCCTCCCCCACGCGCGCTTAAAGCTCCTGCCTGCTGCCGTTGCTGTTGCTGCTGCTGCGAGCGAGCGAGAGGAAAATGAAACGGCAGCAGCGGTATATATATGCAGCAAGCTCGCAGCATCTAGTAATAGCTATTATAGGGAGAAAGAGAGAAAGAGGATGCGAAAATTTTACTTCCCTTTTACGTACATGCATACGTGTATGAGTGTGTAATGTGTGTGTGTGTGTGTGTGTGTGTCTGCACAATATGCACGAGATGGTTAGTAATAGGTGGTGGTGGTGGCTGGTGATGGTGTCAGCAGCAGCTACAGCGGCTCGCAACACAATACATGCGGGGGGCAGCACTACTGTAACGTCGTTCAATTCGTTTTTCTCGTTAGATATATGTGTGTGTGTGTGTGTGTGTGTGTACACGCGTGTGCACCTCCATATTGTAGTAGTTGGTATACGTAAATGCTCGGCTCGCTACGAGATAGAGAGAGAGAGAGAGAGAGAGAGATAAAGAGAGAGAAAGAGAGCGTCGTGTGTGTGTGTGTGAGTCTAGCGCAGCAGCAGCAGCTCTCGGGTCATTCGGACCATCAATTATACAGGCCAAAGCCTTTTCATTGAGTTCGTTTCTCAGCATCGGTGTAGATGGCTCGACCAACGGCGAATCGAGCATACGCGCGTATGTACGAACGAACGGACGGACGAACGCATAGTGACGGTGGCAATTTGCATTCTCTCTCTCTCTCTCTCTCTCTCGAGCCACCAACCCTTTTTCTCTCTCTCGCGCGAGCGAGCGAGAACTCCGGGGAAAGTTCCGTGCACCTATTACCAGTGTGCTGCACGCATATATGTGGCAGACGTAGAGAGACTACGCCATCCCATACATGTAAAGGGAGAGCTGAGTGCGAGCGAGCGAGTTACCACCTCCTCCTCCTCCTCCATCTCTTCTGCATTCTGTCGACGGTTGATTTTTTTTTTTTTGCCTCTCAAGATTAAATACGCGTATGGTAAAAGCAGTGGTAGTGGTATATAGGTGCAGCATGAGGTCTGTAGACAGCTCTCGGTCAACACGCGACGCAACAGCGATAGTAGCAGCAACAACAACAACAACGACGCATCGTGCGCGAGGAAAAATCGATAAGCCCACGGCGCGTGCGACCATTTTCGTTACTTTTTATTTTTATTTACTCATTTATTTGTCTCCACCTGCTGCTGTTGCTGCTGCTGCTGCAGAGAACGAGAGCGAAGGAGAGGTGTGGTAGTAGCTGTTGCGTATATAGCGTACGCAAACACATGCAAAAAGGGCTGTGAATTATTCGCGAGGTAAAATTTTTTTTGTATCTCTCTGTGGAGAGTCTCTCTCTCTCTCAAGATTTAACTAAATAATTGCATTTAAATTCTGCGCTTTAGTCCCTAAAATATTTTTTGTTTCCTGCGTGTATACTCTTTCTTTCTTTCTTTCCTTTTTGCTTTAACGTATTTCCAAATAAGTGCTTTTACGTTCGTTCACCGTTGGTTTTCCTTTTATTTCATCCTTTTTTTTTTTATTTTTCACTACCGAGCTTTTTTTCCCGCTGTGTGCTCGAGAAAGAGACTCGAGTGAGAGAAAGAGAGTTACTCCGTTCAGACGCTCGAGAGTTTATCCTACAGCAGATATTTGTATACGTGTGTTTGTGCACTCCTCTCGTACGATGTCTGTGTGTATGCATGGACAATTGTGTAGTACTTAAAAGCAACGGCTGAGTTTCGCGTATACGTAAAATACCAACTCCTCCCGCGTGCACACACGTATATACACTGCAGTTGCTGCTGCTGCTGCTGCTGCTGCTCTCGCAAAGTCACGAGTGTCTACTCTTCAAATGAATTAACTCTTCTCCGCAATTCAACTTCTGAGCTTTAAATGTACAGGAGAGAGAGAGAGAGAGAGAGAGAGAGAGAGAGAGAGAGAGAAATTCTGTAGCACAACGGCAGCTATAGGCATAGTAACAGCAGCAGCAGCAGCATATAAAGAGAGTAGCTCAGTGGTATTTGAAGCACACAATCGCATTCACTCGTCGTCTATATGCAGTAGCTAGCTAGTATGACGTCTGACTGATACACTTTTCGCTATATTGGACAGCAGCTCTACACAGACACCTGTGCACTGCTGTGAGCAGACGAGTATAGGATAGGTAGTCTCCGACTCATCGAATCGGTGGAATTTCAATATGTCCCTTTGCTTTGTCGTGTGCGGCGAGTCAGATAGATATAGCTAGGCGCAGTCACGGGGAGAAGTAGCCCCCCCTCCCTCCGACTTTAAGTTACATACCACACGTGCACGCGAGCAATAGTAATTGCTATTATTATATCTATGATGTGCCTATACCTGACATGCTTTGCCGCTGACGACGACGACGACGACGACGACGACGACGACGATACGATCACTCGTCGTCGGGTTCGAAGAGCTGTAGTATACGATGCCAAAGGTGCCCCTCTTGAGTACTAGACATAGAGTGTATACCCCATGGAGCAGCAGCAGCATCACCTAATGAAAATTGATTCATTATATGCGCGACAAACAAAATTATATACGTGTAAGACGAAACAGGTATGCATACAGACTACCACTCTCTTATATGGCTCTAGTCTTTGTGTCAACGAGCTATGTATGCGTAGCTATAGCGCGACGGCAAAATCGCGAGTGTTTTGTACTCGAGCACGTCGTATTATATATCACGCATATAAATTGAAATCTCTGCGCTAATGCACGCGGAGCGAAGCGCAGCTCGAGTCTCGCAGTACACAGGTACTCGACGCAGGAGGATCGAAAGGACGCGCGTATAAAGCTGTCAAGGCGATGTTGTGTATACGCGAGCAGCCCTCGAGGGCTCGCTTTTCTCGATTTCCCTTTGTGCATAGGTTCTCATGGCTCTCGGTAGAAATTAATGGTGATCTAATGACTGAAAAAATAAGCATTTGGAATGATTGGTTTGCTTTTGGCTGATTTTCTGTTTACGATTGTGTTATAAATATTGAGCTCGTTTTCAATGATCCGTTACAGTTTAATTTTGTTTCAAAAAGTTTAGACCAACTTTCTACCGATGATACAACTTTAAGCCTTCACCACTAGATGGCGAGTACTTTTATCTGTAAATCTGCAACTAGCAAAATGGAAATAATTACATAAGTAGATGCATGGTTTTCGATATTACACGCTGCAGCTTCTACTGAACGAAACTGAAATTAAAACCAGTGACGCGATCTTCACGCATGAAGTGTACTGATAGACGACCATAACAAAGTGAGATTGTCGTAAATCAAATTTTTTTCTTCATACAAAATATCATGCTTCGTGAACGATTGAATTAAATAAGGGTCTCACTCTCAACTGGGAGGTAGGCCGGGCTGACGAAATTATGAACAACTCACTGCTGGACAATTCGCTAAAATAGTCGTAAGTTTTGATATCGGTATGATACGAATACAGAGACTACGAGATAAAAATATTACGACTTTCGTGTTGTCGTATATCATTGCGATTTACGAGTTATGATTTTTTTTTCAGTTTATGGCACCTAAAAGAATGTTTGACCATAGAAACAGTTCTTTGGAATTATGTGGTATGCAATAAATGCATCGTAATTATCTTCATTTTTATTTTATTTGATTATATTTAATTTATTTATTATTGGGGCCGTGGGATATAAATTCCATACCGCCTCAGAGAGTACCAGAATGCCCGGTCGACGACAGACGCGACGATCGTAGCCCTGGTGAGCGCGTCGGCGCGTGCGAATAACAAACACAACGACTGAGGGCTGGGCCCGACTCACCGCACGATGTCGAGATCTTCTCCTGGTCCAGATCCACCCTTGGTTGTCCTTGTGGTCCGCTCGACCGTTGAATCCACTGGTTCTTCCTCGCGCACTCGGGTCGACTTGTACCGGCACTCGCACTCTTCACTCGGGTGAAGTAGGATCTCACTACCCGCGCGGTACTCGTCAATCCGACGTAGACATCCCCGAGGATGTCGCGCTCAACTCGCACACTCGAGCTCCGTTCGCTCTCGAAGCAAATCTTCGACTCTCCTCTGTTTACATGTACGCTCTCGTATCTTAACGTATACGCGTGTTTACGTTCTGTCCTTTCACACTTGGCGATCACATGAAATCAGATTCAAAATACAATGATTAATAACTATTCTTATAACTAATAATATACTCATCAAGGCGACGATGGTTCTTCAGGGCGGCCCAACAGATAATGCCAGTTCCGGCATTACACAATTAAGTAAAAAAATTAAAAATAATATTATTAAATTCAAATTAATAATGTTAATTTAATTGACCTTTTACATTTTAAATGTAGGAATCTAAAAATTACCATTGAAAGGGTGTGTATACTTTAGATAATAACTTACTCGAATTTTATGCTGTCAATAAACGTTACAATGTGATGAAAACAATGTGAGAAATAAAGTTACAGTTTGTTTCTACTGACTTAAATATAAATATTTATCTTTACTTTGCCACTTGCTGGTTCACGAATAAATGTACTCGCCATCTAGTGGCGAACGCGTCAAGTATTATTTTCATAATTAAAGAGGTTGAAAACTGGCCTCCATTCTTTGAAACAAATAATTGTCATTTTCAAGTTATTTAAAATGCGATAAAACAGAAAAAGAGTCGAAAGCAAGCTAATTATTGGCTATGTATTTAAAAATATTCCAAAAGGAATATCCTTTCTACGAGAAGATGCTAATAATAAAATCAAATGTATTCCATAAAATTCTTCGTCAAACTAACATTTCTACAATAAAATATTGTTAGTTTTCTATTTTAAAAACTCACATGAACAAAAGTATAAAAAATAATTCAGTAATTACGAGAGAAACACTACCACACAAGGTACTAGGCACAAGATCACAACCGAAATTTTGAAAATCAATTCGAAGTAAAAGAAATGAAGTACAAAAGGCAGCGATCCTATATTCGTGTATTAATATATACGTAGGCTGCAGCGCACAAAGCGCGTGTGCTGCACTGTATAATATATATCACACACCCGAGTAACGCCGATGGGAATACGATTTTGACGAAAAATTCACTCGCGGCGCGACAAATCCTATGAGTGTTATTATGTATAAAAGCATCGAGATCTCATCTAACAGCGAATACTCACACACCCGAAAAGAAAGTATATACGTAGAAATACCACGCAGTGGCTTGAGGTGGTGGCCTTGAGGGTGTACGTATATGATATACGTATGGGTGTATGTGTGCGTGGTGTGTATCTAAGTGCACGCTCGCGAAGTTACTTGGCACAGAGACAAGAGTAGTAGTAGTAGGTACGAGGGGTATATATACCTCTGCACTATACGCTTCGCGAGAGAGTGGAGCGCGACAGTCTGTGAGGTAGTAGTGTATAGGGCTTAATAAAGAGCCATGTGTTACATCGCGCGTATATACATATATTTTACTCTCTCTCTCTCTGTCTCTCCCTCTCTATATACATACCAGTCTAGAGATGCGCCTTCCTCTACACACTGATAGAAATGTCTGCCTGCAGCAGCAGCAGCGCAGCAGTCTGGCAATAAGCTCGCTCGCGCGCGCGGCTCTCTTTCTCCCTCGTATATAGCTACTGCTGCTGCAAGCTCGTGCAAGCTCTCTCGCGTAAGTTAAGTACCCTCCTTTTCGAGCTGTACAGCCGCGCGCGCGAGCTTGCAGCTCGAGCCTGACTTATCAGTGGAATGGAAATTAAGGGCTATATAGCGGTAGTAGACCTGGCAGCAACCTTTAGCAGCAGCTACCATACCTACGCATTACGCGTCTCTGTGTGTATATATACGTATACACGAAGCTCTCCGAGCGATCGAGGAATCTTGCTTACACAAAGACACACGAATATATATATTTCTCTCTTTCTCTGTGCAGTGGTCTATCCCCATGTATTATATGCTATGGGTGTAAAAGCAATTTTCATAATGTACACTCCTCTCGCGGCTCGGGTGCAAGCGTGCACGAGCTTTGTATTATAAAGTCGCGGTGGTAATGGTGCTGCTGCTGCTGCGTGCTGAAAAGTCGACCTGTAATGGCAAGTATTATCGCTGACAAATATTTGAGAGCTTTTCACGCGTAAACGCGCTAAACCTCTTTCGCTTTCGTTATTTATTTATTATTATTTTCTCAGCCCCCCCCCCCTCTCCCTTTACTGCTTCTGATGCTTTTGCTGCAGCCATGCGCGATCGATTGATTCGACAGCGCGCTGTCGAGCTTTTTTCTTCAAGTACGCGCACGGTGGATATTTTTAAAGCCTCCGCGCGCGTATAAATACTGCGCGCACGGTTTATTAATGGCTTGGCTGCGCCACACTTATATACACACAAACACGCATACTCACTCACGTGACACGGTGGCTTTGGTATACATACGTAATGCCTCGTGTATAAATACGTATACAGCAAGAAGACGGGGAGAAAGAGAGAGAGAGAGAGAGAGGCAAAAAAAAATTCGAGCGAGACGAGCTTGCAAGCGTGAAACAAAGCCGAGGCGCTATATAGCTGCCTGCACACACAGAGTCCAAGGCAAATCAAATGTACTCAACATCAGCGCTGCAAAACGAAGGGGTGAAGGGTCGCTCGCTCTTTTGAAAGGGAACAGGACTATGCTACTACTCGTCAGAGGTGAAAGAAATTACGAACGTGGAAATGGAAAATGAGGGAGAGAGAGAGAGAGTGAGAAAAAACGAACGGATAACTACTTGGGGTGAGGTAGAAAACGGTGCAAAAAAAAAGAGAGTGTCGTGCACGGCACCCTAGAACTAACTGCGTAGATAAACCGAACCGAAAGAGAGAGAGAGAGAGAGAAAACGCGAGAAAGAATTACGTATAACTATATACCTGCAAGTTGAGGGTTATACTACTTCAGCTTACTCGGCTTTAGTGCAGCTCCGCTCAGGAAACTAAGACAAAAAGGATATAGCAAAATTAGAAAGTATGGCCGTGGACGAAGTGGAGAAACAGGAAATAAAAATAAAAAGAATGAAAAGAGAAAGAAAGAAAAAAAAAATTCGGACCGTAGCGCCGCTCCACGCGCGTTTATATATATAAAAGTCATTTCTCTCGCCGAGGACGGCTAAGGTCGAGCGTCGCAACGCACAGTAGGAAAGGTGTGAGTGTGGGTCACTGTACGACATTCGAGTGAGCGAGAGAAAGGCAGCAAAGAGACGGAAAGGAAACAAAGTTGGAGTGTATAAAAAAAAGTGACCTCCGAAATTGAATAAGCCAAATAAAAGTCTCCAGGGTGTATACAGTTAGTACTGTACGATGCCGAGGCGATCTTTTCTTTCCTTCCCTTCTTCTTTTTTTTATTTTGTATTTATTTACTTTTTTGCTTCATAGGTACACTTATTTCAAAAGTGTAATGATGCAGAAAAATAAAACTTTTTAACGACGATAAAGAGCGTCGAGTTTTTCCCTTTCTTTTGACTCGCGCTGCGACATATCTCTCTATCGCGCGCTATCAAAAACGTAGTAACGGTACTTACATAAAGCGGCCGTGGCTCGCGCGCGTGCTCGCACGCTCGCGAAACATTTTTCGCGACGATTTTTTTTCATACACACCGCACACACACACACAGATATTCGAGGGCAAAACTTTGGGGAATGAAAAAAATTTTTATCTCGAATCGCGTACGAGAGAGAGAGAATGGGAGTAGTACCGCAGCGTGCCCAAAAGATCTCTCCTCTCTCTCACTCGAAGTCTGGTATTTGAGTCTAGTAGATGTGACGCCGTGAAACGTCCGCAGACAAGTAGGAGATAAATTGCCTTGCCAGCATTTGAGGATATTTTGGCTTACTTCCCATATCCTAGGAGAAGGCCAAGGAGAAAAAAACGTGTAGGGGGAGTGAAAGAGAGAGAGAGAGAGAGAGAAAGGAAAAAAGAGAAGCCATAGACGCGCGCGCACAAAGTAAAAGACATTGATATATAACTGTATATAATTTATCGATTGCGATAGGGGGAGGAAAAAATAAATAAAAAATGCATGGCTCGGTAAAAGGAGAGCTAAGAAGGAGAGAACCTCGTGAAATTTCACGAATGTAAGACACGATGCAGCACAAGCCAAAACAAACCATTGTGGGGCTCTCGCTTGCTAGCGTATATTTACCCGTTAAAAGAGAAAACATCTTCCCTCGTAAATTTCGGCTATACTTACAGGGAGCAGCGCCGTATAGCCCTATTCGATGATTTTGATGGATGACCCAGTGTACCGATGATTTTTTTTTTTTTTCAAGATCATTTCGCAATAAGTGTATTACTCGTAAATAACGAGAACGTATAAAAATACGTATCAGTCGTTAAACGTTGAGTCATTTTTCAAAGCCGTAACGCCACCGTTTAACCGTGGATCCGTATAAATAATAAATCGGCCGGCTTAGCGTCTGTTTATCCAAGACGACGTTACCAATTAGTCAGGCGTTGCGGTGCCGATAACCGATCCCCCGGATCTGCATCGGCGATAATCTAATTTGACACTGCGCCTGACAAAGCTAGTTATATACGTATGACAGATTACGTGGCAAAATTTGTTTACGCTTCTGGACGCGTCGCGGGGATCGAACTACTCTCCAAACTTTTCGGGAGGGATTGAAGAGTTAATCTCGTTCGATGGGGGCTATTTTTACGGGGCACTCGGGAATTTTGCGAATACCGATCCACTTGTCCATTGAAACAAAAAAAAAAAAAAAAAAAAAAAAAGAAATGAAAATTCACGAGTTCGAGTCGAAACGAATAATAAAAAAGCAAAAAGGAACGTCAACTCACTCCGAACTGTGCATCGCGCGAAGAGCGCAAAGCTCGTAGGAAAAAAAAATACCACCACCTGTTTGGATTTCTAAAATTTTCTCTCGTTGCGTGCCGCGCGCGCTTTGGAGAGCTGATTTTTGCTGCAGCTACAAATGCAGCAGCATATACACTCTCGACTGCATGCGAATAGCCAATTTCTCTCGCTCGTTTTTTTCCCTGCGCAGTTATTCAATTTCCGTGGGGCAAAAAAAATCCTGCGTAATGTT